TGTGGTCAAGAATGAAACAGCTTTTCTTAAATGCAAAACATTACCCATATTGTACCTTAGATATTTGGATGACATCTTTGGACTTTGGGAGCACTCCATTTAGGAATTCAAAGGATTTCTAGACATTTTGAAGTAGAGTTTTTAGATTCACAGGTATTCTTTACACGGGAGAAGGGGGAAACAAAACATTTAGCGACGAGTGTGTTCTTTAAGGAAACTGATAGACATGCCCTACTTCATAAATCTAGTTTCCACCCTACATATACCTACAGGGGTTTAATTAAATCACAACTTATAGGGTTTCATAGGATCTGTACCTTTCCTGGGGATGCAGGCTCTAAAGCCAAGGGGCTATTCAAAACGCTTCCTGGGGGAAATTAAAGCTGAGGTTAAACAGAATAGTGGCCATTACAGCAAAGAAATGGATAATCACTCCATTATACCTTTTGTGGCCACTTACTCTCGGGCACTGGTGGGTTTCAGCTCCAATATTAAATCACATTTCCAAAAGGCTCAGGAACAATGTGCGGATTTTGAGAATTTCAGGGTAATATGGAAACAGGAGGAACAGGAATCTGGGTGATATCCTCTCCAAGATAGGCATCTCACTTATACAAAATATTTTAGGAATAAGCATTCGGGTTTGGGTGTTCTGATATGGAAGAAAATTCAATTAGATTCTGTTAACTTGATATATGCAATTAAGTGCAGTCTGACAAAAACTATATATTGGTGAAAAGAAAAATGCACTCAAACTTAGATTAAAACTGCATATACAGTGGGGAGAACAAGTATTTGATACACTGCTGATTTTGCAGGTTTTCCTACTTACAAAGCATGTAGAGGTCTGTAATTTTTATCATAGGTACATTTCAACTGTGAGAGACGGAATCTAAAACAAAAATCCAGAAAATCACATTGTATGATTTTTAAGTAATTAATTTGCATTTTATTGCATGACATAAGTATTTGATCACCTACCAACCAGTCAGAATTCTGGCTCTCACAGACCTGTTAGTTTTTCTTTAAGAAGCCCTTCTGTTCTCCACTCATTACCTGTATTAACTGCACCTGTTTGAAATCGTTACCTGTATAAAAGACACCTGTCCACACACTCAATCAAACAGACTACAACCTCTCCACAATGGCCAAGACCAGAGAGCTGTGTAAGGACATCAGGGATAACATTGTAGACCTGCACAAGGCTGGGATGGGCTACAGGACAATAGGCAAGCAGCTTGGTGAGAAGGCAACAACTGTTGCCGCAATTATTAGAAAATGGAAGAAGTTCAAGATGACGGTCAATCACCCTCGGTCTGGGGCTCCATGCAAGATCTCACCTCGTGGGGCATCAATGATTATGAGGAAGGTGAGGGATCAGCCCAGAACTACACGGCAGGACCTGGTCAATGACCTGAAGAGAGCTGGGACCACAGTTTCAAAGAAAACCATTAGTAACACATTATGCCGTCATGGATTAAAATCCTGCAGCGCACGCAAGGTCCCCCTGCTCAAGCCAGCGCATGTCCAGGCCCGTCTGAAGTTTGCCAATGACCATCTGGATGATCCAGAGGAGGAATGGGAGAAGGTCATGTGGTCTGATGAGACAAAAATAGAGCTTTTTGGTCTAAACTCCACTCGCCGTGTTTGGAGGAAGAAGAAGGATGAGTACAACCCCAAGAACACCATCCCAACCGTGAAGCATGGAGGTGGAAACATCATTCTTTGGGGATGCTTTTCTGCAAAGGGGACAGGACGACTGCACCCTATTGAGGGGAGGATGGATGGGGCCATGTATCGCGAGTTCTTGGCCAACAACCTCCTTCCCTCAGTAAGAGCATTGAAGATGGGTCGTGGCTGGGTCTTCCAGCATGACAACGACCCAAAACACACTAAGGAGTGGCTCCGTAAGAAGCATCTCAAGGTGCTGGAGTGGCCTAGCCAGTCTCCAGACCTGAACCCAATAGAAAATCTTTGGAGGGAGCTGAAAGTCCGTATTGCCCAGCGACAGCCCCGAAACCTGAAGGATCTGGAGAAGGTCTGTATGGAGGAGTGGGCCAAAATCCCTGCTGCAGTGTGTGCAAACCTGGTCAAGACCTACAGGAAACGTATGATCTCTGTAATTGCAAATAAAGGTTTCTGTACCAAATATTAAGTTCTGCTTTTCTGATGTATCAAATACTTATGTCATGCAATAAAATGCAAAATAATTACTTAAAAATCATACATACATACATGTGATTTTCTGGATTTTTGTTTTAGATTCTGTCTCTCACAGTTGAAGTGTACCTATGATAAAAATTACAGACCTCTACATGCTTTGTAAGTAGGGAAACCTGCAAAGTCGGCAGTGTATCAAATACTTGTTCTCCCCACTGTATATCACATCAATAAAGGTGATTGAAATACTGTATTGGCCCATACAGTAGAACATGTACAAATATTGTGCTTAGAGTCTAACAGAAAGTGATGGAAAGCCCAACGGCAAAGAGTAGAATTGGATAAAAATATTAACTTACCTGAAAATTGACTCCATTTGTTGTCAAATATTGGATAGGAATCACAATTGTTATTTTCCTAACCCAATTAGTTATATCGAACTGTAAAAGTCTAATATTTACATCCTGTTGGAAATATAATAAGTATATTTAGACCAATCTAATTGGAGAGAAGAAAGGGACATTTTAATAGTCTTTTATCCACAGAAAACGGGAATTTAATTAATTATTTACCTACATTTACATTTTCGTCATTTAGCAGACGCTCTTATCCAGAGCGACTTACAAATTGGTGCATTCACCTTATGATAGCCAGTGGGACAACCACTTTACAATAGTTTTTTTTTGGGGGGGGGGGGGGGGGGGGGGGGGGGGTAGAATGATTACTTTATCCTATCCCAGGTATTCGTTAAAGAGGTGGGGTTTCAAATGTCTCCGGAAGGTGGTGAGTGACTCCGCTGTCCTGGCGTCGTGAGGGAGCTTGTTCCACCATTGGGGTGCCAGAGCAGCGAACAGTTTTGACTGGGCTGAGCGGGAACAGTGCTTCCGCAGAGGTAGGGGGGCCAGCAGGCCAGAGGTGGATGAATGTAGTGCCCTCGTTTGGGTGTAGGAACTGATCAGAGCCTGAAGATGCGGAGATGCCGTTCCCCTCACAGCTCCGTAGGCAAGCACTACTGGGAAACCAGCTCCCATCTGGTGGCGGAATGGGGGACCGCAGTCAACCTTTTTACACTGTGGTACAGTGGGGAAAAAAAAGTATTTAGTCAGCCACTATTTGTGCAAGTTCTCCCACTTAAAAAGATGAGAGAGGCCTGTAATTTTCATAATAGGTACACGTCAATGTCACGCCCTGGCTCTGGGGACTCTTAAATGTTGAGCCAGGGTGTGTAGTTTCTATGTTGTATTTTCTATGTTGTGTTTTCTAGATTGTGTGGATCTATGTTGGCCAGGGTGGTTCCCAATCAGAGGCAGCTGTAACTCGTTGTCTCTGATTGGGGTCCATACTTAGCCTGTTTGGCTCTAGTCGGTGTGGGATCTTGTTCCGTTAAGGTTTGTTTTGTGTAACCTAGGACTTCACGTTTCGTTCGTTTGTTTGTTGTTTTGTCGTGAGTTAAGTACTTAATATAATGTACGCTTATCACGCTGCGGCTTGGTCCGTCCCATTCATAAACGATCGTGACAGTCAACTATGACAGACAAATTGAGAAAAAAAATCAGTATTTGGTCACCTACAAACAAGCAAGATTTCTGGCTCTCACAGACCTGTAACTTCTTCTTTAAGAGGCTCCTCTGTCCTCCACTCGTTACCTGTATTAATGGCACCTGTTTGAACTTGTTATCAGTATAAAAGACACCTGTCCACAACCTCAAACAGTCACACTCCAAACTCCACTATGGCCAAGACCAAAGAGCTGTCAAAGGACACCAGAAACAAAATTGTAGACCTGCACCAGGCTGGGAAGACTGAATCTGCAATAGGTAAGCAGCTTGGTTTGAAGAAATCAACTGTGGGAGCAATTATTAGGAAATGGAAGACATACAAGACCACTGATAATCTCAATAGATCTGGGGTTCCACGCAAGATCTCACCCCATGTGGTCAAAATGATCACAAGAACGGTGAGCAAAAATCCCAGAACCACACGGGGGGACCTAGTGAATGACCTGCAGAGAGCTGGGACCAAAGTAACAAAGCCTACCATCAGTAACACACTACGCCGCCAGGGACTCAAATTCTGCAGTGCGAGGCGTGTCCCCCTGCTTAAGCCAGTACATGTCCAGGCCCGTCTGAAGTTTGCTAGAGTGCATTTGGATGATCCAGAAGAGGATTGGGAGAATGTCATATGGTCAGATGAAACCAAAATATAACTTTTTGGTAAAAACTCAACTCGTCGTGTTTGGAGGACAAAGAATGCTGAGTTGCATCCAAAGAACACCATACCTACTGTGAAGCATGGGGGTGGAAACATCATGCTTTGTGGCTGTTTTTCTGCAAAGGGACTAGGACGACTGATCCGTGTAAAGGAAAGAATGAATGGGGCCATGTATCGTGAGATTTTGAGTGAAAACCTCCTTCCATCAGCAAGGGCATTGAAGATGAAACGTGGCTGGGTCTTTCAGCATGACAATGATCCCAAACACACCGCCCGGGCAACAAAGGAGTGGCTTCGTAAGAAGCATTTCAAGGTCCTGGAGTGGCCTAGCCAGTCTCCAGATCTCAACCCCATAGAAAATCTTTGGAGGGAGTTGAAAGTCCGTGTTGCCCAGCGACAGCCCCAAAACATCACTGCTCTAGAGGAGATCTGCATGGAGGAATGGGCCAAAATACCAGCAACAGTGTGTGAAAACCTTGTGAAGACTTACAGAAAACGTTTGACCTGTGTCATTGCCAACAAAGGGTATATAACAAAGTATTGAGAAAACTCTTGTTATTGACCAAATACTTATTTTCCACCATAATTTGCAAATAAATTCATTAAAAATCCTACAATGTGATTTTCTGGATTTTCTTTTCTCATTTTGTCTGTCATAGTTGACGTGTACCTATGATGAAAATGACAGGCCTCTCTCATCTTTTTAAGTGGGAGAACTTGCACAATTGGTGGCTGATTAAATACTTTTTTTCCCCACTGTACCTTCCTCTTAGAATTAGAACCACCCCTTACATTACTACTGATGCCCTCATTTAAGGCTCTAAGACTTATTACTGACCCTGACCCTGTTCTAACCCTGACCCTGACCCTGTTCTAACCCTGACCCTGTTCTAACCCTGACCCTGTTCTACCCTGACCCTGTTCTAAAACAACACCCTGACCCTGACCCGGTTCTAAACTATAACCCTAACCCTGACCCTTTTCTACTACTAACCCTTCGCCTGTTTCTAACCCTGACCCTGACCCCTGTTCTAAAAACCCTGACCCTGTTCTAAACCCTAACCCTGACCCTGTTCTAACCCTGACCCTGTTCTAACCCTGACCCTGTTCTAACCCTGACCCTGTTCTAACCCTGACCCTGACCCTGTTTCTAACCCAACCTGCCCTGTTCAACACTGACCCTGTTCTAACTAACCCGGACCTGCTGTTCTAAAACCTGACCATGTTCTAAACTTTCTAACCCTAACCCTGAGCCTGTTCTAACCCTGACCCTGTTCTAAAACCCTGACCCTGACCCTTTCCTAAACCCCTGACCCCTGTTCTAACCCTGACCCTGACCTGTTCTAACCTGACCCTGACCCGTTCTAACCGCTGACCCCTGGACCCCCGACCCTGACCCCCGTTCTAACCCTGACCCTGACCCTGTTCTAACCCTAACCCTGACCCTGTTCTAACCCTACCCTGTTCTAACCCTGACCCTGTTCTAACCTTACCCTGTTCTAACCCTGACCCTGTTCTAACCCTAACCCTGACCCTGTTCTAACCCTGACCCTGTTCTAACCCTGACCCTGACCCTGTTCTAACCCTGACCCTGTTCTAACCCTGACCCTGTTCTAACCCTGACTCTGACTCTGTTCTAACCCTGACCCTGACCCTGTTCTAACCCTGACCCTGTTCTATCCCTGACCCTGACCCCTGTTTCTAAACCAACCCTGACCACCTGTTTTATAAAAACCCTGACCCGGACCCCTGTTCTAACCCTGACTCTGTTCTAACCCTGACCCTGACCCTGTTCTAACCCTGACCCTGACCCTGTTCTAACCCTGACCCGACCCTGTCTAAACCCTGACCCTGTTTAATATTAAACCTAAAACCCTGACCCTGTTCTACACCCTGACCCGTTCTAACAACACCTGACCCTTTTCTACTAAACCGTAACCTGACCCTGTTCTACTAACCCTGACCCTGTTCTAACAACCCTGCCCTGTTTCTAAACCTTAACAACCTGTTCTAAAAGCCCTGACCCTGTTCTAAACCTAACCCTGGAACCCTGTTCTGACCCCTGTTTCTAGACCCTGACCCTGACCCCTGTTCTACCCGTGACCCCTGTTCTAACCCTGATCTGACTCGTTCTAACCCTGAAACCCACTACCCCTGTTCTAACCCTGACCCTGTTCTATCCTGGACCCTGACCCTTTCTAAAAACCCTGCCCTGTTTTAACCCTGACCCTGACCCTTCTAACCCTGACCCCTTTTCTAACCCTGACCTGTTTTAAAAACCCTGACCCTGACCCTGTTCTAAACCCTGACCCGGACCCTTTTCTACTACCTTGACGGTGACCCACCCGGTTCTAAAAACCTGACCCGTTCTAAACCCTGACCCTGACCCTGTTCTAAAACCCGACCCTGACCTGTTCTAACCCTGTACTAACCCTGACTCCGACCCTGGTCTAAAAACCCTCCCTTTTCAACCTGACCCCTGACCTGTCTAAAACCCTGACCCGACTCCCTGTTCTAACCCTGACTCGACCCTGTTCTAAACCTGACCCTGTTCTAAAAAAACCCGACCCTGACCCGGTTTTAAACCCTGAACCCTGAACCCTGTCTAACCCCTAAACCCGACCCTGTTCTAACCCTGACCCTGTTTCTAACCTGACCCGACCCTGTTTCTAACTACTAACCCGACCCTGTCTAAAACCCTAACCCCCTGACCAACCCTAACCCTACCCTGTTTCTAACCCCTGACCTGTTCACTAACCTACCCTTACCCTGTCTACCCTGACCTGTTCTAACCTGACCCTGACCCCTTGTTTTTCTAACCCTAAAACAACCCTGACCTGTTCTAAAACACTGACCCTGACCCTGTTTCTAAAAAACCCTGACCCTGTTCTAACCCGAACCATGTTTTTTCTACCCCTAACCCTGACCCTGTTTCTAAACCCGACCCTGTTTCTAAACCCGTGACCCTGACCCTGTTCTACACCCTGACCCTGTTCTAAACCCTTGGACCCTTACCCTGTTCTAACCTAATCTACTAACCCTGACCGCCCTGACCCTGCCTGTTTCTAACCCTGACCCTGACCCCCGTTCTAAACCCTGAGCCCTGACCCTGTTCTATAACCCTAACCCGGACCCTGTTCTAACCCCTACCTAACCCTACCCTGTTCTAAACCCTGACCCTGTTCTAAACGCCTTACCCTGTTTAAAAACCCTGAACCCTGTTCTAACCCTAACCCTGTGACCCCTGTTCTAACCCCTGACCCTGTTCTAACCCTGACCCTGACCCTGTTCTAAAAACCTGCCCTGTTCTACTAAACCCTGACCCCTGTTCTAACCCTGACTCTGACCTGTTCTACTGTTCTAACCCTGACCCCTGCCCTGTTTAACCCTGACCCTGTTCTATCCCTGACCCTGACCCTGTTTCTAGAACCCTGACCCTGTTTTAAGAAAAAAAAAACCCTGACCCGACCCTATTCTAACCCTACTCTGTTCTACCCTGACCCTACCTGTTCTAACCCTGACCCTGACCCTGTCTAACCTGACCCTGACCCTGTCTAACCCCTGACCCCCTGTTTTAAAAAAAATAACCCGAACCCCTGACCCCGTTTCTAACCCTGACCCTGTTCTAACTCCGTGCCCCTGTTCTAAACCCTCCCCTGACCCGGTTCTAACCCTGACCCTGTTTCTAACCTGACCCTGTTCCTAAAACCCTTACACCCTGTTCTAGCCCTGACCCTGGTCTAACCCTAACCCTGACCCGGGTTCTGACCCTGTTCTAACCCTGGACCCTGACCTGTTTCTACCCTGACCCTGTTTCTAACACCAACCCTGACGCTGACCCTGTCATAAAACACCTAAAACCCTGACCTGACCCTGTTCTAACCCTGCCCCTGTTTCTATCCATATCCCTGACCCTTACCCTTTTCTTAAATAACTAAACCCTTACCCTGTTTTAATTAAACCCCCTGACCCTGACCCTGTTCTAAAACCAACCCTGACCCTGTTCGAAAACCGACTCTGTTTTAAAAAAACCCTTACCCTGCCCTGTTCTAACTACACCCTGACCCTGACCCTGACCCTGTTCTATCTAAACCCTGACCCTGCCCTGTTCTAAAACCGCTGACCCCCTGTTCTATACCACCTGACCCTGACCCTGTTCTAACCTGACCCTGACTCTGTTCTAAAAACCCTGACCTCTACCCTGTTCTAACCCTGAACCCTGTTCTACTAATAAAAGACCCTGACCCCGCCCTGTTTTAAAAACCAAGAAAAAACCCTGACCCTCCTGTTCGAGTAAACCCTGAGGACCCTGACCCTGTTCTAACCCTGACCCTGTTCTAACCCTGACCTGACCCTGTTCTAAAACCACAACCTGACCCTTGTTCTAGCTAAAACCCTAACCCTGACTTCTGTGGTTCTAAAACCCTCACCCTGACTCTGTTCTAACCCTGACCCTGACCCTGTTCTAACCCTGACCTGTTCAACCTGGACCCCTGACCCTGTTCTAACCCTGACCCTGTTCTAACCCTGACCCTGACCCTGTTCTAACCCTGACCCTGACGCCTGTTTCTAACCCTGACCCTGACCCTGTTCTAACCCTGACCCTGTTTTAACCCTGACCCTGACCCTGTCTAACCATAACCTGACCCTGTTCTAAACCCTGACCCCCTGTGCTTTTACCCCTGAACCCTGAACTGTTGACACCCTGAACCTGACCCTGTCTAACCCTGACCCTGAGACCCTGAACCTGTTCTATAACCCTAACCCGGACCCTGTTTCTAACCCGAAGCCTGAACCCTGTTCTAACCCCTGACCCTGTTCTAACCCTGACCCTGTTCTAACCCTGACCCTGACCCTGTTCTAACCCGGACCCTGTTCTAACCCTGACTCTGACTCTGTTCTAACCCTGACCCTGACCCTGTTCTAACCCTGACCCTGTTCTATCCTCTGACCCTGACCCCTTTTTCTACCCTGACCCTGTTTCTAAATCCCTGACCTGACCCCCTGTCTAACCCGACCCTGTTTTTAAAAACCCTGACCCTGTTCCTCAAACCCTGACCCCTGACCCTTTCTAAACCCTGACCCTGTTCTATCCCTGACCCTGACCTGTGTCTAAAAACCCTGACCACTGTTTTAAAAACACCAATTAACCCTGACCCTGGACCCTGTTCTTACCCTGACCCTGTTCTCACCACAACCCTGACGTTTTTTTTTTTTCCCGCCCCCCCCGCCCCCCCCGCCCCCCCGCCCGCCCCCCCCCACCCCCCCCACCCCCGCGACCCCAAATACCGCCCAACACCCATCACAACAGAATGGCCACCACAACCCCCCCCAACCAAGGGGATCAGCCCGACCCCCGAACCGGGCCCCCCCCCACCCACCCCGCAGCCCCCCCGGACCCCCGCCTCCCGACCAGAGGTGCCCCCCCCCAGGCAAAAAGTCCCCCCGCATATCAAAAGGTAGTGGCAAAACGCCCCCCCACCCCCTACGCATACCCCCCCCCCCCCCCCCACACACCTAGCCCCACCAACCCCCTCGCCGGCCCCCCCACTGATCTTATTTTGGTGTATTGAAGATCATTACGCAATTAGTTTTTCACGGATTTTGTTTTTTTTTGTTTTTTTGGCTTGGGTGTTGGATTTTTAGGAGTTTTCTTGACAGCATATGAATGTTGTCCATAAGACCCCCTCCCCCGCCCAAATAACGCACAGGAACCCCCAGCACAGGCCTCAACCCCCCCCCCCCGGGGAGGAAGCCAGGACCCCCGGGAACCCCCCCCCCCCAGGACCCTGGAAACTGCCCTCAGCCGCCCGGCCTAAGTATAACCCAACAACACGAGCACGCCCCTACCAACCCCCGAGCTGGATCTGGCCCAGGCAGGGTCGACTCCACACCCCGTCCCCCCCCGGCCCCGTGAAACGAGGCGGACCCCCCCCACGCCCCCCCCATATGCACCCACCAGCAAAAGGGAGGCTCCGGGGCCCACCCCCCCGCCCCCGTGCGCCATTGATAGCATATCACCCCGCAGGTGGGGGGCGGGGAGCCGACCCCCGGTCCCCCCGTCAGCTACGGGGGAGGCGCGACCCCCACCCCAGCCCTCCAGGTCCTGCCACCCCCGCGCCAGCCCACGCACGGGCAGCAAAGATCTATTCTAGTCTTCCTCCAAACCCCCCTGACCCTGACCCCTGTTTCTCCCTACCCTGTTCTAACGCCTGAATCCTACCCTGTTTCTATCTAACCTACCCTGACCCTGTTCTAAAACCCTGGACCCTGACCCTTTTTCTCCTGACCCTGACTCTGTTCTAACCTTGATTTCTGACCCTGTTCTAACCCTTGACCCTGTTCTCTAACCCTGACCCTCCTGTTTCTAAACCCTGACCGGACCCTGACCCTGTTCTAACCCTTGACCCTGTTCGAACCCTACCCTTTCTACCCGACCCTGTTTCTAACCCAGACCCGACCCTGTTTAACTAATAAAACCCTGACCCTGTTCTAACCCTGACCCGACCCTGTTCTAAACTAAAACCCTGGACCCTGACCCTGTTCTAACCCTGACCCTGTTCTAAAACCCTGACCCTGACCCTGTTCTAACCCTAACCCTGACCCTGTTCTAACCCTAACCCTGACTCTGTTCTAACCCTGACCCTGACCCTGTTCTAACCCTGACCCTGTTCTAACCCTAGACCTGTTCTAATAACCCTGACCCTGTTCTAACCTGACCCTGACCCTGTTCTAACCCTGACCCTGACTCTGTTCTAAACCCCTGACCCTGACCCTGTTCTACGACCTAAACCCTGACCCTGTTCTAAAAAACCCTGACCTGACCCGTTCTAAACACACACTGACCCTACCCGTTCTAACCCTGAACCGCTGTTTCCTCAACTACTAACCCTAACCCTGACCCTGTTCTAACCCTGACTCTGTTCTAACCCTGACCCTGACCCTGTTCTAGCCCTGACCCTGTTCTAAACCTGACCCTTTCCCTGTTCTAACCCTAACCCTGACCCTGTTCCAACTCGAACCCTGACTCTGGTTCTACTAACCCTGACTCTGACCCTGTTTTCACCCTGCCCTGTTCTAACCCCTGACACTGAACCCTTTTTTCTCTAACCCCTGACCCCTGATA